ATCAGAGAAAAATTACAACTACAGCAGAGACAGAGAAAGCCCCTGAAAAGGTGATATGCAGGGGCTCCAGTGCAAGGAGGAGGGACAGGCTTCAACCTTAACAGTGGGAAGGAGCACAGTAAGCAAGCAGATGCGGGAAGGTGGGAGGCCCTGGAATGGACAGTGAGAGTCCCATGTGTCTCTCTCCATGTCCTCTCTGATAGAGGTGACAAGATGCAGGTGAGAAGGCAAGTGTAGAGGACCCAGCTACGTCACTTGGTAGTTACAACACTGCCTAAGTTCTCTGGGACTACACATACAGAAAGCTGTGGGGACACAGAGCAATACCTCCCTGGTTTGTCTTGGAGGAGCCCAGGAGGGCTTCATAGAGGAGGTGATATCAGAGTCAAATCTTGAAGAATGAACAGGTTGGCCAGGGAGTCAGGAAAGCAGGTATGATGGTCAGATGAGCAATGGCATGGCATATCAAAGAACAGAAAAAGGCAGAGGAGGATGAAGCTCAAAGTGGAGGGAGGGAAGGAAAGGCAAAAATAGAGCTGAAAGGTGGCTAGGCCATGGGCAGGATTTGGACTTTATTATCTTCAGTCATGGGAACCACTAAAGGATTCCATTCTTTTCCTTTTAAAAAACATAGCCTCAAAGGTTTGTGGGTTTTTTTAAATAAAATAATGTTACTTTTTAGCTATGTATAAAAACATCTGCAAGTTAAAAAAGATCTAAGTGCATAAAGTAGGAAAGTCCTTCCAAAATCCACCTTCTCAGGGCTGGGCACGGTGGCTCACGCCTGTGATCCTAGCACTCTGGGAGGCCAAGGCAAAAAGATTCCTTGAGGTTAGGAGTTCGAGACCAGCCTAAGCAGAAGCGAGAACCCCATCTCTACTAAAAACAGAAAAAATTAATAGAGTATAGTTGCACTGCCTATAGTCCCAGCTACTCGGAGAATCACTTGAGCCCAGGGGTTTGAGGTTGCAGTGAGCTATCATGACACCACTGCACTCTAGCCAGGGCAATAGAGTGAGACCCTGCCTCAAAAAAATAATAAAAACTAAAACAAAATCCACAATATCAGAAGCCACCCTTTAACACTTTGACCTTTAGGTTTGGGGTGATGTTTTTGGTTTTCATTTTTAATGTCTACATAAGCATACATGACAAAAATGAGATCATTCTATGCTGTTTTATAACCTATTTTTTTCTACTCAACAATATCTCATTAAGTTTTTTCATGTCAATGAATACAGATCTATCCAATCTTTGTGGGGTTTTTTTTGTTTTTTTGTTTTTATCTTAACACCTGCTGTGTGATCAATCTTTTCAATGAATGGTCAGGTGGGCCAACAATGTCCATGGCCATAGAGTGGTCAAGTGTGACAAGTGACTGATTCGGCAATCAGGAGGTCACAGCTTCAGGGAAATGGTAGAGAGAAGCCAAGCTGCCAAGAAATTAGGGAACTACGAGGGAGAAGAAGGGACAGGTCTAGCAGACTAGTCTTTCAAAAAGCTTAGCTGGAATTTTAATATACATACACACATAGAATATCAGTGACAACAATGAAATGCCATATACCAAAAGATTAATAATAGTTGTCTCTTGATAGGGAGATGATAAGTTATTTGTTTTCTTTCTTTGTATCTTTCTTTTCTAAAATTTCTACAATGGCCATATGTCCATCTTTTGTAGTAAGACAAAGTCCCAGGTTGAAAATGGCAGCAATGAGAGGACAGTGAAAGGTTTTTCCAAGATAGAAGATTCGAGCCTATTTATAAGGTGGGAGGAAGGTACTCAGGGAAACAGCAAGGGCAGAAGATATGATGAAGGGGGAAAGAACTGATGGACAATGGTACCTGGGGAGACAAGCTGTGTTGGCATCCATAGAACAGATTGGGCACGTTAGACTTGGAATCTCCTACTGGGATTGAGAGAAATGGGGATACATGGGTGTTGTTCCATGTCCCACACCCACAACCACCCTCCACATAAGCAAGGGCTGTGGGAGAGTAGTCCAGTTTGGAATCCTCCCTCCATGGAGGAGAATGGAATGGGCAGCTGATGGGAAGAGCGGAAGGGAGGCAAGAACTAGATTGCAGGAGGCCCGAGGGAGGAGGCTCCTCCCTAACCCTGACTCTAGCCTAGCCCTGTCCCTGGTCCCAAGCTGTCTCCCAAAGGTGTGCTCACAGCTACAGACGTCAGTGCAGCACACCATGGATGATTCAGAGCAGAAGCCAGGGCACAGGGCGAATCTTCCTTGTGTGAATATAAAGGTTAAGGCAGAGAGAATCCAGGGCTTGGGAGAGCTGCAGGAGGCTGGTATCACAGACATGGAAGGCTCTAGGCTTCTCTGCCCTATTTCAGGGCTAGCCTTTGAAACTGGGAATGGGAGGACTGGGGGAGAGCAGCAACCACTGGCCTCTCTAAATCAAAGTGTTTAGACTATAAAACAGGAGAAATAGCAATTTGCTCCTCAGTTGAGAATCTTTCATAATGGGAAGGGGGAGTGTGCTACATATCCCCCAAAGATTCAAGCCTAAGGAAATGCCTCCTTAGTTATCAATAAGACAGCAAATACTCTCTCAATTTTGTTCAGGAAACCCTAACTATAATGTATTCCATTCCTTACTGTGAAGTGAGGAAAGAATCTCCCACAGTGAGGAGAGTGAGTGAGGTCCATGGTGGACAGACAAGAGTCAAGCCTGGTCTCAGATCAGATCAGATCAGAGGCCTGATGCTAGTTCCAGGGATCCCTGTTCACAAGGATGAGCCTCTCATCCCTGGCACAGAAATGGTCTTTTTTTTTTTTTTCCTGCCTGCCCAGAACCTACCTGCTAAGACAGAAGTTTCCCCTCCTGCTCTACCTCTGGTCCTCTTATCCTACTACCAGTCCCATCCCCAACTCTGAAATCCCAGAACTATGACTCATCCTCAGGAAACAGCAGTCTCCTGGCCATGCTATCACTGTTCTGCTGATGACTCTGCAGTAGCCTCCTACAGATCCTGTGCCTGGCATTCAAGGCCTTGTGCCAGTCAGCTACAAGCCTCCTTCCCACCATCTTTTGTTTCTCTGCCACAGGTTGACCTGCTTCCTACACACCCAACTTCATGCAGGAGATCATGTCTAGACACCCGCTTTGCTTCCAGCGCCCCTAAACCAGCAGCCCTCTCAGCTCCTCTAAGCCCTGCCATGTTCTCACATCCCACTCTTCTGGGATGCCTGTCCAGACATCACTGCTCTGCATCCACCGCAGAAATTCTGAACCAGTCATTGGGCACTAAGTGCTCACTCATTCTCATCCAGTCTCTTTCTCATTCCCTCACGGATGGGGTTTCCAGGAGGGACGAGACACAGAGCACAGTTAATCCATATCTTGCTTAAGACTTGGACACCCTCCTAAGGGGTGGGAGTGAGGCAACTGATCCCTCCCCCAGCCAGGCTAAGCCCACAGCTCTGTCAGTCCTGCTGCATCACACTTCCTCCAGGAAACCTTCAGAGGCTCCAGGGCTGGCAGCAGGGAAGGAAGTGCAGCCTGAGAGGAAATGCTGTGGGGAGGGGGAGGACAGGGAGGGGGGAGCAGGGAGGAAGAGAAAAGGAAGAGGGAGAAGAACTGAGAGGAACGTTGTAAACTAGAACAAGGAGCATCCTCAAGGGAGGTCACCACTTAGTCCTATTATTTTCATCCCTAGAGAAGGGTGCTGCAAAGAGATTCCCAGAGAAAGGAATCAACTTGTTCAAAGGTGGCCAGCCAGGGAAAGGGTTAAAGAAACAGCCACAGAGCCCAAGCTCCCTCTCTAGAGCTCCCCTCCCAGGCCCCAACTGTGGTAGCCCATTTGCTGGAGACAGTCCTTCCTCAGCTCTGGAGACTTTACCCTAAGGCTCACCAAGCCCAGATCAAACCTAAATGAGCAAGATGTGTGCAGCCTCCCAAAAATCTCTCTGCCAGTCCTGTCCCTGCAAGAATCATCTCCCTCTTTCACAGCCCTGCTCTGCAGAGGCAGAACAGGTAGGGCACAGGTTGCAAAATTCTCCAGACTCCCCCACTGCACGGGCACTGTCACATGGCTTGGCTCACAGGCTGGGCGTACCCCCCAGCCCCCCCAACAGCTGTGCTTGACTCCATCCCTATGCCTATGCCTTTACCCATACGGGTCCCCTGGAATGCCCTCCTGCCTCTCCTCCCTTCCAAATTTCACCGCCTCCAGAAAGTCTCCTATTGCTGGCTCTCCCTCCCTCCCTCTCCCCCTGTGTCCGTGGGAAATTCTGCCAGGCCCTCACAGACTTCCCCATCAGAAAGCTGGGACACTGGCGAATTCTCAGGCGCAGTCTCTACTTGGACCCCCAAACCCCCAGACCAGGAGCTTCCGGAGGCGGAGGTGGGGACAGGGATCAGTTCCCAAACACTTCACCTAGGTCCTGGATCCTGGTGACCGACTCTTGCCAGCGTTGGAATGAGCTACATCTGGCCCCCCAGCTCACCACCTAAAGCCCCGGGGGAGTCCACGCCCAAGCCAGTGCACCCATCCCCCTGCGGCCCTGGGGCGACTCAGATCCACAGGCCAAAGGCCGGCCGCCCCAGAGAGGAAGAGGAGGCACGACCGTGTCCACCTGCAGGCGCCTGTTGCAAGGAAAGGCCCAAAGGAGGGCACAATCGCCAGCTTCCAGTCGCCCCATGCCCGGCAGGAGGAACGCCAGGTGGGATGGGGGGTGGGGAGGGATGGAGGGCCCACGGCTCAGGCTTCAGAATCCAGGGGTCTGACGTCACCCAAAGCCCAGGTTCTCTCAGCGGGGGCCGAAGATAGAGATAGGAGGAGTTGGGGGGCTTGGTGCGCCCCGACCTCTCTTTCCCGGGCCCGAAACAGGGAAGGTGACCCCGACTCCCCACCTCTGCAGCAGCTGGGCCTGCCCCTGCATGCAAAGGTGAAGGGCAGACAGCGCAGAGCCAGAGCCGGGCCCTCGCCCGTGCCCAGCTTGCCCGCAGAGCGCTCCCCGCCTGCAGGCCCGACTCACCCGCCGCCGCTGTTCGGCTGCCGAAAGGCCGCGGCGCTGCGCTGCGTGCACCAGGCGATGCGGCGCGGAGCCGGCCGCGAGCCGCTCGGGGCTGGAGGCGGGGAGCGCGCGCCCGGGGCCGACTCCCCGCGCGCCCGCGCCACGGCCGTGCAGCAGCGCTCTCGCGAGACTCCCGCTCCGCGCCTAGGGCCGCTCCTCCTGAGCTCGCGAGAAGGAGGGTCCGGCCCCTCCCGCCGCACCTTCCAGGCGCTGTCCGAGGTGCTAGTTCCCGGGCCCGCGGATCAGGTGGTTGGCCCGCCCTCAGCGCCGAGAGCAAGGCCGGTACGAGGAAGGATGAGGCCGGAGATCGCAGCCTGGCATCAGCGGCCAGAGCCTCGGCTTCCAATTCTGTAAAGTGGGGAGAATAACCTCCCGTGCCCATCCCAGGGGCCTCTGAGACGGAGCAGAAAGGAAGAATGAGAAAGAGCTTTGAGAGTGGGAGCGTGTGCTGACAGATGAAAGTCCTTCAGATCCGTAGGCTCAGGGCGACAGAGAGAGGAGAGGACGGAAAATCATAAATGAGACATAGAGAGATATGGACACACAGATCCACGGAAAGGAAGACATAGGCAAGAGAGAAGAGCCACGAACATAGAGACAGAGAAACCTGGAGAGACAGAGATACTGAAACATGAAGAGATTAAGACCTGGAGAGAGAAAAAGACAGGAGAGAGAGGCGAGACAGCATGATGAAGTGAGAAGGAGACAAGAAATAAAAATAGACAAGCTACACAAAGGAATAGAATGAGAGGCTTAGAAAAAGAAAGAGACTCAGAAAAAAAATAAAAGAGAAAGTGATATGCAGACATGAACACCAAAAGAAAGTAGAGACCAGGGCAAATGTTTAAAAACCCAGAACTCTGAAGAGTTGAGAGAGACCCACTTGGAGAGAGGAGGCTGGGAGTGAAGACAGGCTTTTATTGTGAGTGGTGTTTACATAGTAAACCTCCTGTGGGATTTCTACAGCCAGGGCCAGTCTCTGTTCTGCCAGCCAATTGCTCCTTATCCCCACAGGGCCCTTCCACCCCCCACCCACCCCCACACCCCTACTCACACCAGGCCTGGAAGGGGGCCTCAGTGGATGGGGGAACACTGCAGGGATTCTTTGCGTAGAATAAGGGCCCATTGTCTGGCTCCAGCCTGCCAAGAGTGGGGCCTCACTCCTACAGCTGGGATAAAAAGGGGGCAGGAGTGAGGAGAGGCAGATCAGAACTAGTGTGGGTGAGGGAAGAAAAATGGAGGGAGCCTCAGGGGCTGGGAAGGGCTGAGCAGGAAGCATAACCAAACCCCAGGCCAACTGGGAATGAAGAGTACTGGGCTACAGGGCAGGACAACCAACCTGGTTCTCTGTTGGTCCTGTCCCTGGTTCACCCTCATGGTCACCACTGTCTGGTCTGCTATAATGCAAGCCTAGGCTAATTTACAGAGCTATAAGGAGGAGCCAAATGGGAACCTGTGGAGGCTACCAAGCATGGCTCCTACAGGAAAATGTGGGGAGTCCATATGGGTCTCAGGAAGGATACAGAGGTTCACATGGGCCTTTAGGACAGGAGTCTGAGGTCCACAGGGAGGTCTGTGGGGAAGATGTCTGGGATCCACATGGAATTTACAGGAGCTAGCTTTTGGCTCATGTGGATCCTACAGAGGAAATGTTGAGGTTTCATGTGATGACCACAGAAAAATTTTTCCCAATTAGGAGAGTCACAAGAGCCTTCTATTTTGCAAACAACTGAGGTAGAAAGAGTACTCAGGTGCAAAGTCGGAAGCCTGCCTTTGTCTTAGTAGGTTGCACCTTCCATATTTAGATAAATGGAAGGGAGCAATGCTTTTAGCACTGAAAATCATTTAAACAAACTTTTATTTATTTATTCATTTTGAGACAGAGTCTGACTCTGTTGCATGGCATCAGTGCCATGGCATCAGCCTAGCTCACAGCAACCTCAAACTCCTGGGCTCAGGTAATCCTTCTGCCTCAGCCTCCCAAGTAGCTGGGACTACAGGCATGTGCCACCATGCCTGGCTAATTTTTTCTATATATATTTTTAGTTGGCCAATTAATTTCTTTCTATTTATAGTTAGAGACGGAGTCTTGCTCTTGCTCAGGCTGGTTTCGAACTCCTAACCTTGGGTGATCCACCCACCTTGGCCTCCCAGAGTGGTAGGATTACAGGTGTGAGCCACCACGCCAAGCCCAACAAACTTTTATTTAAAGGTATTTGCTGATCACCACCTACTAAGCAGCATAGGCAGTGATTTAGAATACAGACCTAGAAGGTCACAATGGAAAATCCCCAGCTCTTCCCACCAAAAGTCCCTAGCCCAGCCCAAACGGTATAAAAGGCCTCACCCCCTTCAAACAGGTGTGACTTCTAGGCCCCCCTCCCTTGGGACCCCAGAACCACACCTGGGAGCACTAAATAAAGCCACGTTGTTTGGCCCCACTCTTTCTCTCTCTCTGTCTGTTTCTTTTGCCGCCAAAAAGCTTTATTTACACTGGGTACATGTCTTTCTCATAGTGGAGGGCAGGATAACAGAGCCTGAGAAAACCAAACCATGCAATAACAAATTTCAAGCTTTTTTTCAGATGTAGAGAATGTCACATCTGCTGACATGCTGTTAGTCAAAGCATGTCATATGATTAGCTTAAAATTAATTCATGGGGGATAGGGAGATATGCTCCCCCTACAGGATGCCAGGGAAGTCACATGACAAATGGTAGTCATGTTTAATCTCATTGCAACAAGGAAGCAAGTAACTTGGAGCGGTAATTCAATCAATCACCCATGGGGCTAGCTCCAGGTTGCTTATCTTTTCCTGCCCAGCTTAGTCTGAATGACGAAAGACTGATCCTAGCACTCTGGGAGGCTGAGGCAGGAGGATCACTTGAGGTCAGGAGTTTGATACCAATCTGAGCAAGAGTGAGACATGCCCCCCAGCCCCATCTCTACTAAAAAATAGAAAAAATTGGCTGGGCGTGCTGGTGTGTGCCTATAGTCCCAACTACTCAGGAGGCTGAGGCAAGAGGATCACTTGAGCCCAGAAGTTTGAGGTTGCTGTGATCTAAGCTGACACCACTCCAGCCTGGGCAACAGAGCAAGACTCTGTCTCAAAAAAAAAAAAAAAAAAAAAGTCTTTTCTGGGAGAGTATCTACAGTACAGGCCAGTAAACAACTAAGAGGAACACCAACATTTACTGACCCTTAATATGTCTGAGTGAGATGCTAAACCTCATGACTCTCCTATGAAGTAAGTGCTATTATCCCCATTTTATAGATGAGACAATTGAGGTTCAGAGAGGAAAAGTGCTCTGCCCAAGGAAATGGAACGGCTGTATCTAAGAAATGGAAGAACCAATATCTTTAGGCTGGCTTTCCCCAGAAGCAGACACTGAGGAGATAAGGATGTTAGTACAAGTGGACTATTTAAGAGAGGATTCCAGGGAGCACTAGTTAGAGGAGTGGGGGAAGTAAAACAAAGAAATAAAGAAAACCAGGCCGGCGCGGTGGCTCACGCCTGTAATCCTAGCACTCTGGGAGGCCGAGGCGGGCGGATTGCTCGAGGTCAGGAGTTCAAAACCAGCCTGAGCAAGACCCTGTCTCTACCAAAATATAGAAAGAAATTAATTGACTAACTAAAAATATATATACAAAAAAAATTAGCCGGGCATGGTGGCGCATGCCTGTAGTCCCAGCTACTAGGGAGGCTGAGGCAGTAGGATCGCTGAGCCCAGGAGATTGAGGTTGCTGTGAGCCAGGCTGACGCCACGTTACTCACTCTAGCCTGGGCAAGAAAGTGAGACTCTGTCTCAAAAAAAAAAAATAAAGAAAGAAAGAAAGAAAACCAATATAGGGTGCAGTAATGAGGTTACCACTGTGGGCAACTGGGGCTTAATCCTGCTGGGGATCTCTGGGACAGTGCAGAAGACAACACAATCATCCCACTGAAGGGGTGAGGAGACTGAGGGCTTCTCATTAGTTGAGACCTGCTCCTGGCATCTGTGGCCTGCCCATGTGCCTTCTGAGCAGAGAAAGCCATCAGGCAGGGAATCCCAGGAGCCTGCAGTAAGCCATCAGGAATGGTTAAGGGGGTGTGGGGAGGGCACTATGCAGTAGCATCTACTACAACCAGACCTAAACCCAAGTCTGTCTGGCTCCTGAGCCACATCACGCTGCCTCCAAGATAATCCTATTATTACCCATGTTGTTAGTCCTGTGGATGTTTGGAATATAGAGTCTGCTTTCTTAAGAAAGAGGCTCCTGCTCACCCAACCTCCTCCATGCACCTGATCTTGTAAGATGCCAGGTCTCTGACACTTAGCATGTGTGTCTGGTTGCACAGCACTGAGTATACAATGACACACATTCTTGCCTGCAGAGCCATGGAAATGTCAGATCAGCTTGTCCAGCTCCCTCACTACCCAGGGGGGCAATTCAGAGGCTCCGTGAGACTTTCCTAAATGGTGCTTCTCCCCACACTACTTCACACTGCCCCATCTCTGTGTTTGTCTTCTCTTCCACACCAGACTACAGCCATCCCGTGGAATGTTCCAAGACAACCCATGGAATTTGAGAAAGTACTTGCAAATCATATAGGTGATAAAAGACTTGCACCTAGAATATATAAAGACTTTGTACAACTGAATAATAAGAAGACAAAATCAGCTGGGCATAGTATCATGTGCCTGTGGTCCTAGCTATTCTGGAGGCTGAGGCAGGAGGATCACTTAAGCTCTGGATTCTGAGGCTGCAGTGAGCTGTGACATGCCACTGTACTCCCAGTTGAGAAGAAAAAGAAGAAGGAGAAGGAGGGGAAGGGGAAGGAGGAGGGGAGGAAAAAGACAAATATCTCACTTAAAAATGGGCAAAGGATCTGAATAGAAATTTCTTCAGAGAAAATGTACAAATGGCCAATAAACACATGAAAACATGTTCAATATTATTTATTAGTTGGGTAGGGAAATGCAAATCAAAACCACAATGAGTTATCACTTTACATCCACTAGGATGACTATGATTAAACAGACTAACAGATGACTATAATTACAGATGACTATAATTAAATAGGTGGGGCATGGTGGCTCACTCCTGTAATCCTAGCA